ATTCACAAAACCCATTCCTCTTAGCCACTCTATCTGTTCAACTAATTTCTATTCTTTGAATAAAATTAATTTAGTGATGTCTATAGCCAGCCTGATGCACATAAAAATCAATTCTTTACATGACCTTAAAACAAGAAAGTACTTTTTGGGCCCTGAAAGATTAAACATCACTTGCTACAATAGTAAAACAGTAGGAATGATATTTTCCCCTTACATCTTGGCACTCTCTGTTAAGAATGAAAAATATAGAAATTTCCAATCCCATTATTCTTGTTCTATTCTCTCCATAATGTTGCCCAAAGAAATAACCTCTGTTGTTGTGAGCTTAACTATCATAAGTAGATCTATTTATTGACACTGAATTTTCTCCATTAATTCTCTATTATTCCACCTCTAAAGCAGCATTGGATTCTCTGACAGATATTCAAAAATACACCATTCTTAACATCCACCAAGGTCGTGGCTGCTCATAGCAAAGATGTAACTGCTCCTCCTCCCTCCACAATTCTGCTGTATGGATCAGCCAATCAACCATGAGCATTTACCTGTTATCTGAAGGAAGAAAGTTAACACAGGATACAATTCATCACAATCTTTTTCTTTACACATGCCTGTAATTGAATCCTGAGACCTGATTTTCACAAATCCTCTACGTTCATCTCTTTATTTTCATCTGGACTTCTTATTTGAGACTTGGTCATTTCACACTTGAACTAAGGCCAACATCCCTTCCCTGCCCTTTGTGTTCACCAAGCCCACACCCTCCACCCTGTCAGCCCAATCAAGAGTTAAAACTGTTAAAATTCTTTTCTCAAAATTCACTAAATGTATTAAAGTTACATAAAGCTTTTAAGTCCATCTTTAAAATACATTTTTCTATTTATAAGTCCAAGGAATTTTAATATTTCCCCCTTCTTCTCATAAGAAATTTTCAAATATGCTGAGACGAAGACTAACACAATGGCTCATCTGCATGCAGAACCCTCAAAGTCAACAACCGTAACCTTCTTGCTATATTTGTATGTGAAATATATTTGAAGGTAAATTATAGACTTTATAGCACATAAACGTCCATCTTAAAACTTTTTCCAGGATTCAGCTCTTTAAAATAAGGACATTCTCCTACATAATCCCATGCTAATATCATATCTAAGAAAATAATAATCACGAATAACATATAATTAGCCAGTTCATATTACAATTTCTTCAATTGTTCCCAAAACGTCTTTTAGGACTGATCTTTTTTTAAACTAAAATTTAATTAAGATACATATATTACATGTATCATTGTGTCTCTGTAGTCTCTTTCTTGATGTCATCTCACTTTTGTTTACAGGGTTTGATTTTCTGAAGAAAACAGGCAATAATACTCTGCATGATGTATCTATTTTTCCACTTGTGTGTGATATACTTAGCTTCTTTCTTTACCCTTGGTATGTCCTATTATGCCTGAGTAAAGTCTTGATTAGATTCAGATTAAAGTCTTGATTAGATTCAGATTAAAGTCTTGATTAGATTTTTGGCAGGAACACTTCAAGGGCGATTCTGTGAACATCATACTGTACACATCTGTAGCAATTGATGTCAGGCTGCCTCACTATTAATGATCCATAGCTTGATTCCTTCATCAAGGGGGCTTCATGGTATTTTGACCTTGCCATCAAGTTATTTAAAATGCACTGAACCCCAATTAAAGAGGCTTAATAACTGTATGAAACCCTATCAACCCCAAGCTACCTTGCTTCTCTGATCTATCCCTATACTTCTTCCCTATCCATTTCCTGCAACACTCTCTTTCCTCTGTTTAGCTTTTCTCTGATATGATGTGTGAATTAGGTCTCTTCAACAATTGTCCATTTTCCTCCACCATCCAAATAAAATCTTATTCCATGAAGCTTCCCTGCAGTTAAATGCATTGGTCACAGTTCTCTTTGGGTTTTCAATCCCAAATTAATGGCCTAAATTTTATAATGTGCCACAGAAACAAGGACTTCTGCCGAATTTATTTTGTAGATGACCTCTCGTGTCAATATATAAAAATCGGTGCTTATTGATAACTACTGCATTACAAATCTCAATAAGTGAAATCTAGAACTAATAAAAATGCTTACATGCAGATTTTTTTTTCTTTGTCATTCATTTAAAATCTACCTATACCTCCTGGCTTTGTCTATGTTTGCAAACCAACCATAGTAAGAAACTACAAATGTTTTCAAGCATCTTTTCAGGGCACATCTAGATACTATTGATTATTTGCCAATAATGCATTTTTTAAATTATTGGGTTATCCTACTTGCACAAATATATTGGGTAATCATGAGCATCTAGCAACATTTTTCATGAACAGGAAGGCAAATGCTGAGAACATTTTCTGAAAACAGGTGTTATTTTGAAGTTGTGTGATGGTAAGTACACATGAAAAATGAATTAAGAATTGAGATCACTGTCTGGATCATTCAGACCAAAAGTCAGAGAAGTATCCAGATAAGGCAAAATTATTCCACTGAATTTGAATTATTTGGGTAACTCCATCAATTATCCTATTAATTTCCACTGTACAGTCCAGTTTAGACTTTCAAGTATATAATTTGTCTTCATCTTTTCTCACTAGCAGTCATCTGCCTAATTATTACAAAAGAATAACAAGTCTATTATGCCTTATTTTCTTGCTTTTTATCATCTGTATTCCAACTTGGAAACTGGGGAGAAAGGCACTGGGCAAACAGTTTTAAAAGGATCTGCTTTTTCCTTTCTCTATGACCAACCTAAACTGGAATGACTAAACAATACAAATGGACCAAATTCAGCCTCACTCTCCAAGGCTAGTCTGGGGCAAAACTATAAAGTGTATAAAGTTTATCCTCAGCCT